CTCCGCCTCCACAGCCCTGCCTGAAAGCTCCGCCTCCACAGCCCTGCCTGAAAGCTCCGCCTCCGCAGCCCTGCCTGAAAGCTCCGCCTCCACAGCCCTGCCTGAAAGCTCCGCCTCCACAGCCCTGCCTGAAAGCTCCGCCTCCCCAGCCACTCACCACTGGTGCCTCTCGGAAAGGCCCTTCCACAGGGGATCTGTGCGGACCATGCGTTCGATGAGCTTCTTCCACAGCATGCCCTCGGAGATGACACGCTGCCACTCCTTACACACCAGCTCAGCCGCACACAGCGACCGCGCGTCAAGGAACGACAGGATGTTCTCCGCGATGTGGTCCAGACCCTGGGCTGTGGGCGGGTGAGAGGTCAGGGATGCCATGTGCACCTGCACGCCTCCCGTGTAAAGCTATAGTACGGGGGCACCACGTGCAAGGCTGCTGTCCGTGCAAAAGTATCGGTGTGTGTTTTCTGTGTGTCCACTACAGCTATATTAATACTGTGATTAATCTCGAAATTGCCATTTAATTTGTCATGTTCGTTCATCAATATTGTGAACCTCTGTGTCGATTTATTCATTTAATGCAGCACCGTTTTACAAGGGGGAAGGGCTGAGTTTATTTTACATTTTTTCAACATTTGCTGATTAAAAATTATATTGTTTACGTTGCCTATGCCAAGTGCACTGCAATACAAAAATGCAGTGAAGTGTATCCCCCTGAAATGTTAAAATACAAGTGAAATGATTCGATCTACTTCCTCCCTCCACATCTGCCATTTCAAAAACAGAAATCCGCACTTCATGTATGGACAAAGACAGTAGTTTATGCAACTGGGAGTTGAAATGTGCAACAACTTTATTCAAGATTCTGACTCATCCTTACAGTTAAAAGCTGTAAATTAAATTTTGCCCATTTAAAATTTTAGTAGTTCCATTAATTCAATATTGGAATGTCAACAATTTGGATACAATGGTAATATCACGATGCATCGTGACATTATATTGAGACACTGGTTCCGTGATGAGTATTGTATCATAGGCTAGTTGGTAATACCCAGCCTTAGTGGAAATCTGTACATATGCCAGGACGTTGTTCAAAGCAATGGGCGTCAACAGCAGAAACGTGAAATTCTGGGTAACGCAAGGAATTTGTTTACAGGCAGAGTGTGACGCTGTCCACTCACACTTCTACCATAATTAAGAACGAACCCAAATCAGTCACACCATCACCATGAAGTACTAAACTCACACCCATAATACAACCATTACAGATGACAAGGTAGCCAGAGGCTTCAGGGCAGCCGCAGAGGGTGTGAAACGGTGCGCGAGCAGTCAGGCGTGCCGGCTCACCTGGTAGCGCGGTGATGAAGTCTCTCTGCAGCATGGGTTTGAGGTAGGAGTTGATGTGGCCGTGCTGATAGTGGCACATGCGAGAGATCAAGTGTTCCACAAACTCCACCTGGTCGGCCTCGGACCACTGGTCGAACAGCTGGATGCAGACGTCCTTCTCCTTCTCGTAGTTGCCCTCCGACGGTCTCTTTCTGGATGGTCCGTTGCTGATCTGGATGGGAGAAAGGCGTGTGTGTTTGCTGTCTGCACCGAAACACCACAGTCATTTTGCAAACCGGCATCATTATTCCATTGTCCCCATTAATGCCCTTTGAAACGGTCACACGGCACACTAAGAGCTATCACTAACAGTTATACAAACACAAATGTAAAATGCCCCCAGATCTTTTCTTAAGGATGTAATACGTCAATCCACAAGAGAACAACTGTTAGTTACAAGAACTACTAGCTCGACAGCAACATGATATACTGTCCATGTATCGAATTTTGGGTCATAAGTTCACTCAGTGCAGCATGGTGCGGTACAATCGTGAAGGTATAGCTAGACAACGGGACAGCGACACTGCCAATGCAGTTTCTGAAGTAGCTGGCATCCGTTGTGAGGAATTAAACCAAAAAAACAAACGCACTTAGGGGTTCACAAAGACCCCATAATGGCAAGATGCTCCATGTGACTGACTTACATTTATTCGGCACTTTTAACCACCTTACAGTTGAACTAATCTATACAGCTGAATTTTCTATACTGGGACAATTCAGTTCAACAGCCTTTTTCAAGGCGACAGCAGTGTGACGCCAAAAATCCTCCATTTGGGGCTTTGATTTCCACTAAGCTACCTACTACCTTAAAAAAGACCAAGACATTAGCAATGATGAGGAGCCATATAGCAAACAGAACTGTAACAGCCCCAAAGAAATCATTTCTGTAGTAACACTAATATTGCAGATGAATAAAAAGCATCGAGTTACTTACTTAGCTAGCTGCAGGGACTGAACTTAGCACCAGATCACCTGCCAAATGCAGGTAAATTTAGTTGGTTGATGATAAGTCTGTCAATTTTACAAGCCAGCTGATTGCAACCTGCCACTAGCAGACACTTACTCTGCAGTCTGAGCAGATATTTAAAGCAGACGCTACCTAAAGCTCCTAATTACCCAATGAAGCAGCGTGCACAGATACTGTGGTCAGGTGCAAGGGGTGATGTTCACAGAAGCCCCCCCCCCCCCCTTCTACATCGCCAGTCTTAATGAATGTCAGCTTGCAATTATCCTGATATGCTTTTTGTCCCCTAGCTAAAGTAAATTGTAGCTTAATGTCTCTTGCGTACTTTCAAGGCCTCAATCCCTCTCTCTCTCTCTCACACTCACACACCTAATGGAACATTTCACAATTTTGGTTAACTTATCCACACTTAATGTCATTCAAGATTTGCATATTCCGGTTTTCAGTAAAAAGTTAGCTTAACCCACAGAAACCACCGAACAGACCAGCTCAATTTTCGCTCGTGTCCGAACAAATGCAATGTTGAACTTCATGGAGGTGGATGCACTATATACACCCACACCCGCGATTCACACCCACTGCTGTCTACCGGAGGGACACTGTGAATGTATTCTTCATTTTAACATGATGTTTTAAATTGGGCAAAGAAAAAAAGTATGTGAAACAACCAGACTACAGCACGTCAAATTTTGGACAAACCTCTGAAGACACCAGTCAGACACACGGTCACCTGATATATTTACTCGGCGTTCAGCTCAAGATGTCTGTTTTTAGGAATTAAAGTCAGTGGAAAAAATCTAATTGCGCTACAGTTTCTTTTGCAATAAGACCACACAAGGTTCAAATACTGCGTATTGCCACTACAATTAATGTTGATAAAGCCAGACAGGGTAAATTCACTGCAGCAGGTCACTGACTACACAATATTACACTACACTGTCAGGTGAATTTTACTAGGTGGACCAACGCAGTTCCCTTCCAAAACCCTATATACCGGTATAATGTTTGGAAGGGCATGGAAAAATAGTTACCAGCAAAGCCTTCCCTTCATAATTCTCTGTTTGGGCAATATCAAGTATTGATGTGATGTGTGTCATGTCTGATAAACTTCACATAACCTTTAAACACCTTAAACATGGTGTAAAACTAGGCCCCATTTCTCAGCCAGTCAAACATCAGATGTTCTAAGACTGCAGACTAAATAATCTGTCAGATACACACACTGGAGAACAGCCAGCAGAGAAAACTCCCCAAATATACAAGACAATCAGGCTTCAAAAATAACCCATGTCATCACCAATGGCTGTGTAACTTCAGAATCCCAATTTATGGTATCAACAAAATGAACTGCATAAATTATAACATACAAACAGAAAGTGAACAGAGGTGTCAGTCAATTAAAGGACACTTTGGAGATGCAGTTGCTGGCAGTGCCAGGTTTATTGCTCAGATGTATTCAATGACATAGCAAAGCTTAATAATACCATGACATATCTAATCACATGCATTGTTTTGTTAACAATCCTTCCATCGACAAGTACATGAATTTTGCAAACGGTTACCAGAACGATAAAAAAAAATTGATTTGCCATTTCTAAGTGTTACTGAAAATTCACCTTTAACTAACCAAATAAGACTGTAATCACACCAGGTATAAAAACTCCACTTGTAGAGAGGCCGCTCATTTCCCCAAAGGGGGTAAATTCAGATCTACCAAAGTGCAACTGACAAACTGTAACAAGAAACGTAGAAAATATATACCAAGCAAAACCCCAGATCAATATCATTCCTTCCTGATCCGGCATAGGCTGGACAAAATGGCAGCACTGAAACAAAATGAACTCTGCTCAAAATGAACAACTGTGTGTTTTATCTAATATTACATAATACAGAACTGTAAGTCACAGTCAACATGCAATAACTCTAAATTAATATATACCTATAGTTGAGTTTAGATGTTTTAACATATGAAGTCTTTAGTAAACAATGGCTATACTGCAATGTAACTCACGAAATGGCTCTCTGGGTACAGTGCTAAAGAGAGGCAAGATAATGCACTATTAGACCCCAAACTACACATGTAACCCATCTTCATCTGCAGCAACATTTTAACACAGGCTGCCAGTTATCCAGTTCCTACACAAACACAGTAACTTTGTTAACTGATCAGCGCCAAGTAACTTATCAAATGATACATTATTTATCTGATAAATAAAATCTCACAAGGGCTATTTCCTGGGAAAAAAATCTTCCAGGACTCAAATTTAACCTAATATTTAAAACTATTTTTTTTTTTTTTATGTGATGTACTTCATGTAAAGATCCAAGTCAGCTCAATTTTTTGTGGGGTATTAAAGAGGTTAATCAAAACAGAAATCCTTCACATGGGATAAAACACTATTTCACAAAACGTGTACATCTCCAGGTTACTGAAACGATCAGACCGGGGATTACCCAACTACCGCAGAACCTTGTGATCCCTGTGCCCCTGATTCACTAAAACTGGCATCAAAGCCCCTAGCTCTGACCAATGGTTAGTATTTGAGAAATGATTAGTGGGCAGATGCTGAATGCTGTGCAGAAACTGGCAAAAGTTAATCACACCTAGCGACCACTAAAGGGACAAAATAGTGCAGAGTTTTGAGCTGGATAGCTTAAGTAAAGCACACAGACTGAAGCGTTTGGATGTGTTTGGGGGAGGGGGTGGGCATCAAGGCCAGCAAGGCAAGCAGTGACGGGCACCCACCTTTCCCTGGTGCAGAGAGGTCTGCTTTGGGGAGAGCTCGTTGTTCTGAGGCTCCATGACCGAGGTGTTCTGGAAGAGAGAGAGATCGATGTAATGGTGAGAACGGCAGGGGGCAGGAAACCATGGATGACACACAGGCAACAGCAGGATGCCGTTCAGGGGCAGGGTGGAGCATAGGGAAGGTCACATGATAGGTCACATGGCACACACACACAGTGCTTGCTTATAGACCTTTTCTCAGCCAACCTAGTGTCAGCTTCCCCCAACTCGACCCCACTCCTCCGCAACAGCTGACGACTGTAATAATACTGCTGTTTTTAATACTGCTGCAGCTGCTGGTATTTCGGCGACAGCCATAATTAAACACCGTCACCACACCGCCGGTGACCGTGTCCAGTGTCCCCACATGGCCAAGGATAGCGGAAGATAGACATGCAGTGCTCATCCGGGGGGAAGGGTGGGGATCAAACCACATGACACAGGAGGCAAGCAAGACGCTGTCCTGTAGCACCCCTACAGGAATCCTAGTGCACACCGGAGTGCTGACACACCCAGGCTAACACAACCTATATCCCGAACCGATCCATTCTGAAGCAAGTGTTGGTGCAGACCTGGAGCGAGGCAGAAGGCTCAGGACCGCAAGATGCTGAAGGGCACTGGGTGATCCAGCACACACAGGAAGAGAGCCCCAGGTACACAATAGCTCAGCTTGGTTCTGAAGGTGGCACCCAGGGGTAACAGCTCGGAGCACTGCATACTACAGTCCATGTATCTAAACCCAGAGCGCGCTCTCACTTCTGTCATACACAGTCCACTCACTCACTCATGTGACACACACACAGACACACACTCACACCCCCACGCCCACCCCTGTGCTCGCCCACACGCATGTCAATGACTATTGGTGGAGATGGATGGCTGCGATGGAAGGACAGCGGTAACCATGGTTACAGCCCTCCCACTGGTAGAGGAGACCTGCCTTTGTGTCTGTGCGTTTCACAGTTTATGAGATGTTAAGAAAGCAGGCAGGCTGGTGGTGGC